CAAGCCATACCACACCCACCAAGCCACGCCCACAAAACTGGTAGTAATTTTTTTTGAATCCCACCACTGATGGGGACATGTTCCTGAAGTTTCACTTTTCACATACACTTATACTTTATGTTACTTTTTCACCTTGAAATGATAGGAAGCTTTTATTGGAATCTTGGTGATTTTTGACAATTGTAGTTTAGATGGAACCAAAGCAGTGGTGAGTTCCAACCGGTACTGCCTGGTATGGCCATACTGGTAGTAGTCGGTAGTAGCAGCCATTGTACCTGTACGGTGGTTCATTTGGCCCACCCACCCACCTGCGTTCCATACCTGTTTTTGAAGCAACCGGGCCAATTGCGCACGTGCTCACGGCGTGCGGTGCCTGTGTGACCTCTGACGAGCAGCTGGGTGTCCCAGGTGTGGTGGATTGCTCATGCGTGAACAGCGCATGTCTGACGCGTGCACGAACACTACACAAACAGCATACCGGTAGTGATGGTAAGAGCAACCCACCACTGAACCAAAGTGCTGTATATGACAGACATTTGGGATCCCGATGTAGCCTTTGGGATAACAGGTTGTGGCTTTGGGCACTGAATGAAGCCAGGTATTGAGGCTTAGGACTGAGCCACAAGCTCAAACTTTTCCAACCATCCTTTTTGTAATATGTAAAACAATTACAATCTGTATATGCAGATTCTGTTTACCCTGAAGTGTGTGTGTGCTAGTTTCCATTATAAGTGACATATCCCCTAAACTCACATACTTTGCTTTATTTACTGAATTTCATTGTCCTTCAGACTTCCAAATTTTGTTGTAAAATATAAAGCACAAGAAAACAATAAGATAAAAGCTATAGATCAATTACATCATTTAAACAACTGGGTCACCTAAAAATATAATGTATCCACAGCAGGAAGTTAAGACAAATTGAAGGCAGAAAGGAAAATGAACTTTGTGTTAGCCTATTCAATAAGGATTGTTTACAGGGACTACATGTTGCCTTCAATTAGGAGACTTCTGAATCTAGGGCATAGCAACATCAGAGGTGGTTTGCTGCTGGTTCAGCCCAGTTCGGACAGAACCAGCAGCAATCCAGGCCTGCCATGCCCCCACACCAGTTCCCTCGCTGCTGCTGGGCTGCCGCCATTTTGGATTTTAGTGCAATTTACATTGAACAGTGCACATGCGTGTTGCGAACTGGTAGTAAATCTGGCAGCAATCCGCCCTTGAGCAACATGTGGACTTAGCATAAATTGGTCACTGAGGAAGAGGAGAAGATGAGATGTTGGTTGGAAACACAGTCAGGCATTTTCTATATGTTTTGCACTATTTATTCATTTGTTTGTTTGTTGATTAATTTATATGGCCACCCAACTTACTCATGGTGACTTCATCCAACTTACTCAAGGCGACTCCATGGCTTACAAAAATAAAACCCCAATACAAAACCTAATGAAACACCACTCCTGGCAACAAATCACTTGTTGGGCACCATATCACCCTGCAATTCCCAGGCCTGCAGGTAAAATCTATCCTTCAGGGCCTTTCGAAAGTGTGCCAAGGTGGGGACCAATCTTATTTCTGCAGGGATGATGTTTCACAGGGAAAGAGCTGCCATGGAGAAAGCCCTTCTTCTTTGTCTCACTAGATGGACGTTTTGGGGAAAGAGGACCCACAGCATCTGGTGGGTCAGGTTGATATAACTGAGAAAAGAGAGTCCTTCGGACAATCTGGGCCCAGGCCATATAGGGCTTTAAAGGTGACAACCAGCATCTTGAATTGGAACCAGAAGCAAATTGGCAGCCAATGCACCAGTTGACACATGCAAATCTAAACTTGCACAAAACAGTGTGGGCTGTGTACAAATGAAGCTTCCGGATACTATTCAAGGGTACCCCATGCAGAAAGCATTGTAACTCTCAAGAGAGAAGGAAAGATAGGATGTATAGGATCCACGTTTCCTTGACATTGACAGGGAAGGTACAGAGGGCAGCCAAATGATCTAGTCAATTCTTCTTGTGTCAAGGTGATGACTGAACTTCCAGCATGAATATCCTTCTTAGTTTGTAATAGAAGCAAAAGTCACTGTTGAACGCTTTGAACCCATAGCCCAGGGGTGTCAAACTCAAGGCCCATGGGCCAATGGGGTGCTTAGAACTGGCCCGTGGACCTTCCCTGAAGCAATGAAGGACTGGCCCACAGTTCTTCTGCCAATGAAAACAGAGCTAGGGAGGGGCTGCGTGCAGCCCTCCCAGGCTCCATTTTCACTGGCAGGGGGTTGCAGAAGGCCATTGCAGCTGGAAAAAAGGGAGTCTGTTTTTTCTGGTATAGCACTCAGGCCACCACAGGTGCACCTGACATGAGTGACATTGAGCTGGCCATGCCCACCCCAGCCCCTGAGGTCAAACACAACCCTGATGCGGCCCTCAATGAAATCGAGCTTGACACCCTTGCCAGAGCCCCAATGAATCAGGTGAATTCACTAATGACATACCAATAACTTGCCTGTTGCAATGAAGTTTGAATATTTATAATAGTTGGCAGAATTAAACAAAACAAGCAAGTGGGGAAAAAACAAGTTCAAATTCAATAGATGTTTTATTAGTGTTATTGATTAAGTCAGATTAAAATCATTCAGGATTTAGAAGGCTGACTGCTAACCTATGATTTGAAAGAGCTGGGGGTGGCTGCAATCTGTTGACTCCATTAGGACTTTCAGATTTTTGTGTATTTGCTTGCTTCTTGTTACTCTTCTAACGGTAAAGGTGAAATACAAAAGGGCTCAGTTTCACTTAAATTGTTGGATCCAGTCCAGACATTCAGAAGGGGAAAAGGGACCCAATTTTCATTCAGCTAAAGTTTGCCTCAAGGCTACCACCTGTCTGCTCCTCAAATACACAGAAAAAATGGCAATGGAGTAGTGGACAGATGTAGGTGATCAGTCAGTGAAAATCTGCAGGGAGGGAAAGGGAGATGCCAACATTCCTGCCAGCTGAAATGACTTTGGCAACAGTGCCTCTCTTCGTGCTTCTCCAAAAACGCTCTTTTTTCTTCTTCTTCTTCTTTTTTTATCACCAATACCTTTTGAAGTTTCTGTCTCATGAAAAGATTGATTGAAGGAGATGAGACCGAAGCCAAGGGGAAATAAGAAAGGTGGGATTTAACTTTTTTTTAAATATGTATTTTATCAAAAGTCTTTTAACTGAAGAGCTGTAGTTTTGGCAAGAGACTCATGGCAACTGCTTGTGAATTAATGAGGCATGTTGTCATGAGTGCCTCCAAATGCATTCTTAGTGTGCCTCTGACTGCAGTAGCCACCATGAACAGCTATGAATGGCATCTGGAAACAAGTCCAGTTATGCTAAAACCAAATTAGGTCAAATAAAGGACGCTGTGTTGCTTTACAGAAGCACCTTCCCCCCCCCCCCCCCACTGACTGAACACATAATGATCCCGCCTTGCTCGACTTGCTATTGAATACAGTTATTGTTGTTGGCTTTGTTTTCTGATTTTGATAGCCTGCATCAGCAGCTGATGTACACATGCCTGTCCCTTGCCTTATCATTTGCTCCAACCCTCTTGCCTCTTCACGCAATCATTCTGAAGAGCTCTTCTGTGGTAGGAAGCCAATTACGTACATCTGCCATCCTTAGTCACACATCCAGCTTCGCTCACGTTGCTGCAAAAGTGACATTTCAATCGGTTAGCCACCTCTTGGCAGGAAGCTGCTTTGTGCCAAATCAAACTATTTGTCCATCGGAGCCCACTACTGACTGACTACAAGTCTCCAATCTTTGGGAGTGTGAGCCATAATGGGAATTTAGAGCATGTATTTGGCATCTTCCTGTAAAATGACTGATGGGAAAGGTTATTCACTTAGACCATGGGTATCATGAGTAGCATAACCTACTACCAGAAACTAATTTTCAAGAATAGTGCCTGTGATTCCATCTGCTCCCCTCCCCGATGTTTTCACTTAAAAAAAAATTTTTTATAAAGCATTATAACATACAAAATACAAACGTAAATAAAAGAGCAGTGAGGAAGGAGGGGAAAGAAAAGTGAGGGAAAGTAGGGAAAAGAAAAGATAATGAAGCATTGACTCCCAACTCTCTCTGCTGCAATAGAATAGAATAGAATAGAATAGAATAGAATAGAATCAGTGGTGGGTTTCAAAAAAATTTCGAACCTACTCTGTGGGTGTGGCCTCCTTTGTGGGAGTGGCTTGCTGGCCATGTGCGCTCTCTCTCTCTCTCTCTCTCTCTCTCTCTCTCTCTCTCTCTCTCTCTCTCTNCACAAAGGTCCTAACCAAAAGCCCTGTGTTCAATTATGGAGCTGACCAGAAGTCCAGTCCCCCCCCCCCATAGAGTCTTCTCCTAGCACGACGTCCCTTTTCCTCTACCTGTCCTAACTGAAAGCCCTATCAATTGTGGAGTCGACCAGCCACAAGGAGTTGCAGCAGATGGATGAAAGAGCCATATGAGGCTCCAGAGCTGTGGGTTGTTGACCCCTAGTATAATTTATCCAATTAAAAGTAATATCACAAACTAAATGTAGTTGTACTACATTATAATAATTTGTCTAAAAGATAGTAGAGAATTATTCTAAATATGTATCTACATATACAGAAAATAAAACATAGATGGATATAGATTCATAAAAATAATTGTGAAAAATTGATATTGTTTTATAAATGCTTATATAAGCATAACAGACAAGAACATATGTGAGCATGTACATTTGGCCAATCCTTATATAAAAAAATATTGTTCTCTTTCATACTTAACATAAATACAATATGTATGAATAAGAGATAAGGGAGAAATAAAATATACAATAATTTGTTCCTTCAAGGGCATGAATTACATTTAAATTATCTGCATTAATTGACCACTTTACATATTTGGTAATGAAAGTTATATATTTTCTAATAAAAAAATAAAAAAATAAATACAAAGTGTACTTATCTTCTTTATAAGTATCAGAAAATAAGCTGGAAAGCATACCTTGGCACCCAAATCATTATATTGTAATTTCAAAGCTGTCAGCCTTTCATCTAGTTCTTTGGGATTTTCGGTTTGCTGCTTCTGTACAATCTGACGCCCCATTTTTATTACTGTTTCCACTTCAGATTTCACTTCACTAAGAGTTTTATATAATTTCTGGTGAATACAAGAAAAGAGGAACTGTATTTTTATTTAAACAAAATGTAACTCATGTTTGCAATTTGCCTGAAGGATAATAAAATGCATGACATTGTGAGAGATAACTTCCTTTGAAATACTCACCATACAATTATCCAGCTGTGACTGCATTGCTTCCTGCTCAATTTTTCGCCATTCCAACTTTGGTACTTGCAATTTTACTTCATCTAAAACATTTTTACTTTCTTGTAATCGCTGCTCAAAATTGGCTGGCTTTTGGAACAAGCGAAATTTCATAAAGACATCTTGCAATTTTTTCTGAAAAATATATAAGGAAGGAAAGATATGAGCACAAAGCTTTAACTTCAATAATAAATCCAATTAAACAGACGTATACCTCTCCTTAGGGTACAATACAGGGGTGGGTTTCAGCCAGTATGCACTGGTATGCACGTACCCCTTTGTGAAATTTAGCATGCCCTCCCGTACCTGAGCTTCCGGAGGCCCTGTACCAGAACACTCCCTCCCCTTGCCTGCCCCCCTACTCTTTCCCCCTGCCCATCCAGTCTCCACTTGCTCGCTCCTCCCATTTGCCCAGTCACTGCTTGCTCACTCACTCCACCTGTCTGCACCAGGCTTTCCCCACCCACCCACTTCCTTTGCTGGAGCGGAGGATTGGGAGAAGCCCACGTGGAGTGTGCTCCCTTCTCTTTGACAGCCACCTGGTTTCCAGTGGGGGTGGGGAAGAAATCCATGCGTTTTTCCTCTCTCTGCATGGATTCCTTCCCCCCCCCCCATTGGAAATGAGGCAGCTGTCAAAGAGAAGGGAGCAACATGCACCATGTGGGCTTCTTCCAATAGCCAAAGAAGAAACAGGAGGCGAGGATTCAGCTGTTGTGAGAAGCCCACATGGTGCATGTTGCTCCCTTCTCTTTGACAGCTGCCTCATTTCCAATGGGGGGGGGGGAAGGATTCCATGCAGAGAGGGGAAAAAAGCATGGATTTTTTCCCCACCCCCACGGGAAACCGGGTGGCGGCAAAAGAAA